AAGAACAAGAAGAATAACAAGAAGAAGAATACACACCAAAAAAATTAGAATATAAAAACAAAAACTAAATAGTAGCACATTCAGTCTTACTAAGCTCGGTTTCCTTGTGAACAATAATGCTCACACGAGAACGAAGCCCAATGTTACCACGTGAACGTCGCTGTAAACTATCAGTTTGTTATACAGGGTGCCGAAGAACTATACGTTTAAAGCTACGTTTCTTTAGGAGAAAACTTTCATGAATTAACTTTTGCTGTAAATAACTTAAAAGATATATACAAATATAGAAAAGAAAATGAAAAAGAAAAAGAAAATAGAATTAATTTAAGAAATTTTAGAGTTTGTAGCTTTTCAATGTAAGAGGAAAAATGAATGAATAAATAGGATTTAGCCGTGGTATTTCATCCCGAGAGAAATTCCATTTGGAATTTACAAGTAACTTATATACGACATTGAGTCTCATGGTGGAAGTCAAGCAGCGCATCCACTTTGTGCCACCCGTGTGTGTTTTCCCAGGAATAGGAAAAATATTGGTCTACAATTGACTTTAAATTCGTTCAAGTAARAGTATAATTTATAAGATATAGTGCTTTTTGAAAATGAAATTCACGATAGCTTAATGAAGATGATTTGTTTGAAAAGCACTAAAGACTTTCAGAACCACGTTTAAAAAAGCAGCCGCGCGCTGAGAGATCACTAACGTTCAATCAACAAACTACGGCTACGAATCGTAAAAAAGCAGGGCAAACAAGCCACCCCTTTGGTGAATGCAAAGGCATTATTTAAGCACATACTGAGCCCCACTGAATTCGAATTGACTGATGAATACGATTAAAGTAAAAAATTAAGACCATCAATGAATTTCATAATTGAAACAGTCTTTAGGCTTATTATTGGCAAAGCACGGCTAACTTTCAGTTATAACTTATATTTTATTATATAATTACCAATTAAATATCTATTTTTCTCTATTTCGAAAAATTGATATCTTCACACGTGAAAATAACATGTTATTTTCACGTGTGAAAATAACACCATTGCGATGGCTATTTAAAAATACACGGAAAGAATGGCCTGAAAAAGCCAAAACATACTTCATTGATAATTATATAATAAACAGAATATTACATGGGCGCTTGGAGATACGAAATTTTTCTTCGAGTGTTGAAAAGATCTCTCACGAGTGAGCGTAGCGAACGAGTGCGACATTTTCAACACTCGAAAATAAATTTCGTATCTCCAAGCGCCCATGTAATATCCTCTATATAATATTATTAGAATGTTTTAATTCTAGACCCACCACTGAAACTATTTATTTCCCTGAGTGAATTATGACCATAAGTGACCCCCCTTTTCTTTCTGTTTCGTTTTCTTTCTTTCCATTCTTTGACGACCTCAATATATATGATTTTTTTTCTTTTTCCTTCCAGGTTGATAAAACTAGGTCATGTTCCAAACAGCAAATCATATATACTGGGTGTTCTGCAATCGAACATTTCTACCGATCCGTCAATTGGATCAATAGCCGTTTGGAAAGCTTTTCCTTGAATTTGACTTTGACACGTCTAGTCAGGGTTCGCTTTCATCAATCAAAAATTTACTTTAGGCTCAGCCCGTTTAAACGTTAGAAAACATGCCGCGTCTGGACTGAGTCTTTAGGTTAAAAGAAACATGTTGACAGACGCCGGGTTCATCTAAGGATTATTCATCTTACCTGTGTTGTTTTCCTGTCTTGATGCTACGTTGATATATCTTTCTTGCTTAGAAACTTCTATTTCCAAATTACTCTTCATCCAAGGAAAAATCTGAGTATCTTTTGCGCATTCTCTCGTTTGCATTACAAAAATTAGATTTGCAGCAAAAGTTAGAAAAAGTGCAGAAATAACCAAAAGTCTTATAAAACGTCCACCCATTTTAAGGTGTTCAGCATTGAACTAAATTTTATATTCCTTGTAAATAAATAAAGCCAAGACCTTAATTTAGGTGATAATTCTTTGAGTGTAGCTTCATGTTGTCATGACGCGGATTACATTTGACTTATTAAAACAATAGTCTATGTTTTTTTACTCTTCTCTCTCTCTCTTTTTTTTTTTTTTTTTTTTGTATGTTTATGTGTTATCCCAATCATGAAAATCAGATCATTACCAACTATGCTGACAAGGTACACAGTTAGAGCCGTGGTATCATTCAGTACAGCAATATAATTATTAAATGAGGCTGAGCACGAAATCGTAGATTATCACTTTAAGTCCAAGACCGTATTATCTACCGAAGTTATAGGCTAAGAAGATTAAAACAAAAAGCATTTGATTTATAATTACTTAAAGTAGACTTTACCAAAACGGTGTAGTTACTACAATAAAATAAAGACGATTTCTAGTAAAGGGCAAAGGGGGTGTATTTTTTGTTCGATGACAATAAATTAAAAGCTATTAAAAAATGGGTGATTTTAAAATGTTTCGATCTTTCAGCGACAAAACATATGGTTGGGTCAGGAATTAAAAGAAGGACAAAAAGAAATAGAAAAAGAAAAACTGGGCTTACAAATGTGCCGGATTAAAAACAGTTCGACATGGCTAATCCTGGACTCATAAAATTGGGGGTTTCGTATTAAAAACAAACGATCAAAACATTGATTTGCGGCTTTTAACTAGATATCAGTATTCTACGAAGCGTTTCCATTGTGGGCTATTGTAACAATAAATGGCCGATAATAGCCCCTTTTCAGCTAACAGTCACTTTTCTGTACTGGTGAGCAAATTTTTTTTTTTAAATTTTGAGTTGGAGATTCTTTTTAGCTACTTGTAAAGAACTGAATCGAATGAAACGATGTTTAACCAGTATGTTACGAAATGCAGTTTTACAACAATCTCTCGAAACAGGTTGTAGAAATTTTGCTTGCTTACCAGGATATTTCACACATGATGTTCATTCAATTGCTCTCAGTGAACAAATCAGCACGTAATTACTGAGCTGCAAAGGGCCTATTATGGTTGTATGTCATATATACATGAATTAACTATCTAAAGCCTCGACATCAGGTCAAAATTTCAAGATCCCAAACGTGGCATTTTCGTTGTCTTGACTACCAACCTGTATTGGTGGAAATCCGCCACGCGTATGAGGTTTAATTGGACGTTTTTGTTATTCGTTTTGGAGATTCGTTTTATTTACATAATATACAGACATTAGATCTTCTTCAATTTTTTTTCTATTTTTTTGCTGGCGTCGAAGAGCTGTGAACCTTCTTTCCGAACAACACTTGGCCGTGTAAACTTTAGGAAAAATCATGAGTTCTGGGGAAGAAATGCTTCTTGACGTCGAGATTACTTCATCTAATCCGTCTTCATGTGCACCGTATGCTCTGATCATCACAAACACCGTACTTGTGAGCGTGGTTTGTCTTCGACCAGAATTTTACAAAATCAAAACCGCAGTTCTAGCCATTCTCTTTGGTTCAGATAGTATTGCGTTTTTCATTGGTGTGATGAACAGTATGGACTATTTAACAAGAGAAGATCATTTGGAACGACAAAACAAAGGGAATCAAACTTGTTTGATTTATAGACTTCAAGCCAACGTTATCGCTCTTCTCTTTAATGCCGCTCTAGTCATTGTCGTGAACCAAAGGACGAAAAAGCTCAAGTCACCAGAAAAAGTACCAGTTACTTTGTCTAATGTTCTGTGCGTGTTGTTTAACGGGATCGCTTGGTACATTCCAAATGAAATCAACAGACAATTTCACTTTTCCATGTATATCACGGTACAGGGCGATTGGATACAAAGTGAAATCTGGGGATTAGACTTGATCTTCGTGCTCTATTTCTACCGGGGTATTTTTATTGGCTTGTCATTTATTAGTGACTATTTGAACGCCAAAAATGAAGAAGACGATGAAAGAGAACTGAGATATATTTCATATTTATAGAGCTTATTTATATATTTTATCAGTATTTTGTTTATTTATAGTATATTTTTAGTTTATCGTATAAAAGAAGAAAGATTCCTTAAGCTGGAGGGTGGGGGAGATTGGGGAGGGGGGGGGGGGATTCATTATCGGGACGACGTACTGTCGCTAATTTTATGCACTACCCGCTAAAAGTATAAGAGGTCACGTGGCATCACCCCCCTTACATGGGCTTAGCGAGGTCTCGATCATAGGAGGGAAATGTGCCATTTCCCGCCCAATCCACAGAAACCCGGATGCCTTCTCAAATCGAACAGTTGTGTCAAAATAAATAGAAGTGAGAGCACCTCGTGATATTAGTAARAATGTGATTAAATATGGAATCGAATATTGATTATGCAAATGAAAATATTTGTTTGGCTTGAAATCTCTTGTTAGAGCAGTTGTTGATTTTTCTGAAATGGGTGAAGATCAAGTCAGAGTTAGTGCCCTAATTTTTCTAGGAGTCTGGAGTTTTTGCCTTCCATCGATCATTCAAATTTTCTAGCTATATTGTGTTAGTAGTATTTTTGATTAACGGAAGCCGCTGGGTTGGTCAATAGACATAGTGAAACGGGTGAAATAATGAAAAATGGGTGCAGTATTGAAGGAATATAAAACGGCTATGTACTGTGATATAAACACGCTAGAAGCTTTAGAGCACGAAGGAAGCCGGTTTCAGTGTGAAAACAAGCATAGCTGAGCTTTTCTTGCTTTGCAAGTGCAAGCGTGCTCTACAGCTCCCAGAGTGTTTATATCTGATCACAGTACATAGGCATAAGCAGCCGTTTTGTATTGCTTTTATAAAATATTTTGGGCTACTTTGCGCGAGCGTGTCTCTGTCCTCTGATATAAACACGCCATAGTAGCCCGCAGCCAATCATCACGCACACTGGTTAAATCTCAAATATTTTATAAGCGTATATAAAGACATCACATGGTTTAGACTGAAGCGCGTGTTGAACTTTTATAATACGGATACCGCAGAATATATGATGATTTTGCCCTAACCTAAATATATATGTCCCATTGAATTAATTTGATCATTTGGTCACTTGATATTCAATTTGTATTTGCTATCTGAACTATGTCCATAAATGTTGGGGAAAATACTTTCTACTTTACTGCCTCCTAATGGTTTAATCAGTTCAATCCGGTTTGTCGCTGAACGTATAAATCGTATTTGATTTATTCATGTTCTTTATCTTAAGTTAATCCGTTTCATTGTTTTCAGTTTTCATCCCGTTTTTGTCATTAACCAGCCGTTGATTTTTGTATAAAAAGCACAAAGTTGGAAATGAAATATTTTGAAAGTAAACTAACTTTTCAGAGTAGAACACGCAGGAAGAAAAGAAGGGGTCAAAAAGGTACACTAAGCACTCCATATTGGGTTTATCAAGTGCATCGTAAGTTACAATTAATGAAACGTATTTTACTCTATGATATACTATAAAAATCGTGCTCGTAAGCCCTCTTCCCCCCCGGTTATAAGCGCACCTCTGGTATCTCGGTTTTTTTGTTGGTTCAAATAAAAGATTGACTGGGAAGGTAACGGTAATAAAAAACGTTTCCTCAGTCTTTGTTATAGGTTATAAGCCTATCAAAACGAACCATTACGAATGCGTAAAACTGAGGCCGGGGCTTATAACCGGGATGTTACGGAATCACATGATAACGATGGAGAATCATGGACAACTCTATTACAGTTACCGACTTACACACAAACGACACGAAAACTAGAACTTTAGCCATATTAACTTACCATATATAGAACCGCAACGCATTGCCTTCAGAAAATTAGGTGTCATTTTATATAAACGTGTTGGTAAATTTGGAACTAATTTACCGAATTCTTGCAAACTTATTTAATTTTTGACCTAATTTTATAAAATCCCTACCGGAAGCCATTTGACCGCTGGTTCGGAAGTCATTGTTCATACCGACATCTTTCCGTTCCTTCTGCGCCTGCGTAAAGGTCATCTTTCTTTCGACATGCCACAGTAAAAAACATATCTATTTAAACGGCTTAGCTCTTTTGGGTCAAGATACTTCCGCCCTATTCTCAACAGGATAATAAGATATCAATGGAATTTAAACCATCTTTTCTTCTCTGACCTCAAGTTGCCATGACGATCGAAAGTTTGGTCTCAGTTGATGGATCATGATGACAGTCTTGTGCAAGTTTTTGTAATGAAGGCTGCACAGAACAATCAAAAAAGCTGACCTTTCGGGATCACTAGCCTGCGTTTGGCATTTGAATAAATCACTCCAACTTTTAAGTTTCGCTTGTTCAGCTGGTAGTGGGCACTGCTAAAATCTATCATTATACATCGTTAAAGCATTGGCTGTTACTTTGGATATCCTTCAGTATTAAGTTATTGGAGATAAGTATGGAAAAATTCAAGGCCACAGGAAGAAGGCTTTCGATATAAAAAGTCAAAACAGACGAGAACAAAATGCGTACTTGACTTCGTTTCTCTGTTATGACGAAGCCGGTCGCTAGCTTCAAGTACGATCCCACTACAGAGAAATTCCCGCGATTTTCTTGATGTTCCAATAACAAATTAAAGATTTCACTTTGAAGGTAAGATTAGTTTTGGAATTACCCTGGATGACTGGCTTATTTAGAATTTGGTCATCTTAGCTCATGTCCCCGTTTATACTTAACCTTCTAGTTTTGACAACAAGACAGGAATTCACTGAAAATTGTCGAATTTTTAATTCAAACGATTAAGCTCGATAAAAGGAATTACTATTAAAAAGAGCTTGTACATGATATAATGAAGTATCAGGCATAGTTAGTCTTTTAAGTAAAAACGAGGTCTCCTTGCATGAGTTTTCTAGGTTTTGATTGCCGATTGAAGAGAGCAAGAGTGTCAGTCTCTGAGTAAATACAAGACAAAACAGTTTGTTTGAAGATAACACATATGTAGTGTGTGAATCGAATTAATAACTTGTTTACAATACTAGTGTTTTAATTCGAGGTTTCTTAATTTGAATCAATTAACACTGTCTTGCTTGAAGCGTGTCCAGATACAATGAAGAGCTAAAGTAATCCAAATCAGTTGATTTTCTTACTTAAGTGTATTTTTCTTCGAACTTAATGTGTCTTCATCCTAAAATCAAGTTTAATTTAGATTTTATGTCTTCTAAAATACCTCAGTTATCCTTGACTTAAGGGTGTGATTATTATTGATACGTAAAATCAATTCATCGCTTTGTTTGACTTTCAATAAATTATTCAATAAATTATTCATTCTAACTGATAGAAAGCCGATAGCTGCAATCAACTACTGCGTTGAGAAGATTACGAGGTACAATCAATCGAAGCTACTGCATTATATATTTTGTCTACAATATCTAATTTTTCTGAATGCTTTATTCACTACCAACAGAATAAGACTCAATATAAGCTCTCATTGGTCGACGTATCACAAGCTTTCCAAAAATAAACTCTTTTGTAATTTTGGATGACATCATTCCAGGGAATATTTTATCGTACATCAATAGTATTTGTACCCATACTTTATCATGACCTTCGCCGCGTGTATTAACCAATCACAAATAGAAGTATTGTGCTTTTTGTGGTAATTTAAGTTTCATCATCATCGATCTTCTTTGTTAATTAACCAATATGGTATTTTAAATATGATAAAACAGTAATGATAGTAAAGGTTATTACGCCTAGTCTTATTTCACAGGTAACCCAAACTATAGCTGGGTTTATTTCTGGTCCTAAACTATGGCACAATTTACCTGACTCTTTACGTTTACAATCAAGCTTATTTAATTTAAATATGCAATATGTTTTAAAAGAATTTAAAGACATTTTGTTTCTAGCCTGCGAACCGGCCCACCGGAGAGGGGGGCTGGGGAGAGGGGGGCCCGTCCCCCTCATTTCCCACGCCAGAGAGTCGTTTTCGCAGGCTATTTTGTTTCGAGTTTTTTTATTGATAGATGGTACGTGTTTTTGCAAAAGTGGTATATCAGTTTATTCATGCATGTAACATGGGTTTTTAGTTTTTAGTTTATTCGTCAAATGCTAAAGAATGAACGACGAGCATCGTAACCTTCTTCGCCGTCATCATTTACTATTCCAAAAGGACCTAGAACCAAGAAAACTGCTAGCCCATTTAGTAACAGTACTGGACATTAGGGATGAAGACGAAATCAAGGCACAAGCAACAAGGGAACTACAGGTCGACAAAATGCTCGATATTCTTCCGAGAAGAGGGCCACAGGCGTTTAGAGTTTTCCTTGACGCTTTGGAGGCTGTGCAGCCGTTTTTAGCTGTTCCTTTAAGAGAAGAGGATGGTATGCTATTACTTTGAGTTCGTATTGCAATATTAGTTATTATTGAGTGTGTAATTGATCGTGAAAGGGAGTAGGTGGATGGGAAAAATATTTTGTCAATTCCCTTGGGAGCATGCTACTAGACCTCCTCTGGTTTCGTTTGGCATATGGTTACTTCACGGTGAGATTCGTCTAGCCTCGGTCGGTCCTCTTTTTTYCCCCTATCTGCCCCTGCGCTACACAGGTAGATATTGCTATGGATGTTTCACAATTGTACAAGTTACTATTTGTAATTTCAGAAATCGAGAAAAGATTGACTGAGACCAGAACAGAGCTAGGTCGTGCGCGGAGCCACAGTGCCAACCTACGAAATCAATTAAGCTGCGCGTCTTCTCAGTTGGATACAGAAAAGTCAAAGCATGGTAAAACTCGTAAAGAGCTTGACGAACTCAAGAGCATTCATCAAACACTGTTGTCTGAAATAAAAAAAGAAAGCCAAAAGCTGTTATCCAAAGTTACTGAGCTTGGGGTTTCAAACGAAACGCTGAAACAGGAGCTACAACAAGAGCAACTGCAAAAAACTAACTTGGAATCCAAAGTTCGTGATTTAGAAATATTTTTGGAGAATAAAAATAATGAGATTGCAAATGTTCGTGAAAAAGAGCTTTATATGAGAGTTGTTATGGAAAAGCATAAACAAGAGGGTTCAGATGCCAAAACCCCTTCAAGGAAACTGAGCCTAGAGGAAACGAAAAGACATTTCAGACGAGAAATATTAAGGAGAAGAGCTTATAGTGAGAAAAGTAGTTATGAAGAATCGATTGATAAAGAGCCACTTGAAAAGTTTGACGAGATCATCCAAGAAGAAGATATGTATGTACATGATGAAAAAATATTGGAAATTGTTCACGAGAGAGAAGCCATGCTCAAATGCTTTGATGAAAAATTGGAAGAGATGAATAATGAACTCACTCTTGTAAAATCTGAGAAGGATTTAGCAAAATTGGAGTGCACGCAACTCAGGGTCAAGCTATTGGCCTTGGAAGAAGAAGCAACACGAAGTGTAGAGGACAGAGCAACCTCGCCTATAACAAAATCAGGTGCAGGTAAATACGGTCAGCTTTATAATTTATTTATTCAAGTTTTATCTTACTGAGTGTGTACTTATCGTGTATTGTTTTTTTATAGAGTTATATTTATTGATTTGTTGTTGTTATACGTGTTGTTGTTGTGGTGGTGGTGGTAGTGGTGGTGGTGGTGGTAGTGGTGGTGGTGGTGGTGTTTGTGGTGGTGGTTGTTCTTGCTTTTGTTGTTGTGTTGAGTTTGTATTGCGTCAGCTGTTAGAGGGAAAGTAGAAGAAAAAAATTAGAATTAATAACATGAAGGGAAGAAGGATCAACTCGAAGCAGTAAAAATATGTCATACCGTATGATATAAAAGTAGGACACGCATAGAGATAAATTGTAGAAGCATAATCAAGAGTCTAATAAAGTCTGAAGGAACATCCCTGAAGGGATCCTTATCCCAATTCCCAGCCTCTATTAAAACCAAATCCCTTAGTAGTCCCAGCCTATATTTTGTTCAAATCTCAATCCCATTCCCATTCATGTTTTATTTGTTTAAATGTTTTTGTTTGTTTGTGAATCCTATTTCCAGTGCATAAATTTTTTTTCCCATCCCAAGGAAGGGGAATCCTAGTTATATTGTATCCCTTTAGAGCCCTCTTTGAAGGATGAAGATCCCGTACTCTGGTAGTACCTAGAAGTTGTTCTTCTTTCCTATTCATTTATGGCATATTTTAGGGTTTTACTTAATATAATACATAGACGAATAAATGTTTGTTATTTTTGTTTTGACAGATAACTTACAGTGTGGTGAATGCAAAACTAAGACAGCTGAATACGATACGCTACTGCTAAGGATGGAGAAAGAGATGGCCACTTATAAAGAAGAAATTCATAAAGTGACCTGTAGAACGAACGAGCTGACAGATAAGTTCGAAAGAGAAAAGAAATCCTTGGAAATAGAGATTGAGTCCCTCAAGAAACTCTACGACACAAGTAAAGAAGACTACAAGAACCTGCAAAATGAAATGGCAGAACAGCATTCGAAAGACATCAAGGATCAATGTGTGATAAAAACGGATTTGACAGCCCAGATAGAGATAGATAAATTGGTTATCACTCGCCTGAAAAGCGAACTGGATAAAGAAAGGGAATCAAGCAAAACATTTCAAAAAGACAACGACAAGTTCAAAAAGAAAATTAAAGCTGAAAAGAAACAGTTGAAACAACAACTCGAGCAGGAGTCAAAGATTAGCACTAGCAAGATGAAGGAGAAAGAAGCAGCGTTGATAGAATTGAGGGATTCAGAGAAAAGAAATCTCGAAGAAATTGCTAAAGTAAGGAAGATAACAAGTGAGCTGCAAAACAAATGTGATCAGCTGGGAGATGAACTGGAAAGGTGGAGGTCACTACCTGGAAGTAAGTGCACAGTTTTTGCAGAAAAATAGAGTTCAAAAACCGCCACCCGGTAGCTCAGTTGGTAAGGGCGTCGGTCTGTTGAGCTCCTGGAAATGGCGCTATATAAATTCATCCCTTTACCTTCCCGGAGGATAGAATGAATGTATTGTTTTGGTACTGTATTTGTTGGTATTGAATTGTTTGGTTTGCATTACATGCATTAATAAAACAACGTTTTTAATCATCATGCATTTTAAAACAAAATGTAGCTGGAAGGCAAATTGGCCTTTCCGGAATAGTCCAGTTTCGAGTTCCAAAATACCGCTGTCTTTCTTGATTACAGACTCATTTACTCAGGCTTAGCCTCGCATTAGTGTCTAATTACTCGCAAATACCAACGGTAAAGTAAAGAATGCACAACTTCAACAATACAAACACTTTGTAACTTGACGGACTTTGACTGGAACACGTGAATATTCTACACAAAATCAAGGCTAAGCCTGAGTAAATGAGTCTGTAATCAAGAAACACAGCGGTAATTTGGAACTCGAAAAGGGTCTATTGATGGACTGGAAACAAGTATAAAACTATTATTCTAATTAAAAACAAGCCCAATCACAGGAAAGATCACCGGCACTAAAGTTATTCAGTTTATCGAGTTTTAGAATGTGTGGGCAAATACTGATCGATTAGCAGACTTTAAACAAATCATAAAAATAAGAGATAATGCATGGTTTTTGGGGACGCTGTACTCAAACCCCATAATTCTCTCTCATTTGCGTACTTTTAAAAGCTTGCCACTCAGTAGGTATTCATCCAAACATGCTCAAACTCGGTAATAGTTCTAATATTCATATGATCTTTTCTGTAATGGTCATCATTTCTTCAGTTAGATTAATATTTTCTCTCGGCCCCAGTCGCTTTCTCAATTCCGGAAAGGCTAATTGAAGCAAAAGAAACRTGATTTTTAGCATATTTTCCTCCCTTCTTTTTTAAGGGGTCTTCAACTTTAAAAAAGAGTTTGACCGCAATGGTGTTATCTACACTCTGGGGACAAATTTCAACACAACTCCATTCACTAATCCAGCAAGTAATAACAACTGTTCAATTATCGTGACCCGTTCTTCACAAGGTCATGGACACCCTTTGGATCTCTTGGATCTCAAAAAGGGATCGCTAAGTTGTACCAAAGACGAGGAGAATTCTTGGTGGCGAGTAGACTTGGGTGAAGATTACACCCCCTTTGTTACTCACTATACCCTACGTCATGGCCGGGACAATGGGCTGTCTGTAATAAGGAACTGGAATTTAGAAGGATCACGTGACGGAAGAACTTGGAAAATTCTCCGAAAGCACGAGAATGATCGAACTCTCAAAGAGCCGTTTCCTTACTTTATGGGTACATGGGCTGTGGAAGGGAAGATAGAAGCAATGCGTTTTTTCAGGATTCGACAAACTGGGAAAAACTCCTCTGGTAGATATGCGTTATGTTTGTCAGGATTTGAGATCTATGGGATCTTACTGTTCATGAAAGAATGAAAAACTTTTTATCGATCAATTTGGTAATATTGACCTATTCCTCAAATTATTAAAAGACAAGACCTCAATTTTGCTTTAGTTACGTCACGGCCATGGCCAGTTTGTCAAAACGGGTCCCACATGGAAAGGGATGACCATGTGCGATTACCCTTCAACGACACAAGCGACATACTGAGTTTGCTGGTCATAGCAAGGGGTTAATCATTTATGGTCTAGGGGCCGACTAACCTCTCCCTTAGGCTTCTGCCGAGCTTCCTGATCAGGCTGTAATTCTCCCGGGATAGCGGTGTTGGGGCCGAAATCTCCAGCGTAGCCGTAAGTCCATACGACGGTTCAGCACTCGATGTCTGGAAGTATGGTCCTGGTTAATTATAAACAATAACATAGATAACACTAAAAACAGAAAATGAACTTTTCAATAGATCGTGAACAATTTGAAAAGGATAAAAGCTATCCTAAGTGAGCTGTGCATGCGCACTATAGTGGTAGCCCGACCCTTAAAGTTTCTTTTTTAATATTAAGCATTTCCAATTTTAAGTCGGCAAACCAAAGCCAAAGCATCTTCAAGAATAGAATGACAAAGCTATATATATCTGTACTGACCTACGCGACCGACGTCGCTAGTTAATGTAAAACCAGGTTAAACCCTTAATAACAAACCCTAACTTATGAACATTATACAACCCCACCCCACTCCCAAAGTAAATGACCAAAATGGCAATCGTATCGTACCTATTGGGTACGAAATATTGATCCGTTTATTTTTTTTTGTTTTCATTAATTTGAGACAAATTAAGAGAGCAAATGAGAATCCATGGATCGAACCGAAAAGCCAATTAAGTAGACTAATACCTCATTCACACCAAGGCTTAAACATGTTTAAAAGTGGTTTAACTAAACAGGTTTGGAAAACTATCTACGAACACTGCACAATATTTGGTGAAATAATGCATGTAAACTATCCTTTGTCTTGCTCTGACAATATTTTAGAAAGTTTCATTATATTGTAGGTTTCTAGTTCCTCAATTTTTTTCCTAATGAAAACATAGCTTAACTAAACACGTTTAGGTGTGAATGGGCTATAAGGGTCCCCTCAGGATCTCAATAACCTATGTTTGTTTATGGCTTTCACACTGTCACAAATCACGATGGATTCCTATAACTTTTTATGAGAATTGGAAGAGTGAGTAGAAAGTAAAAGATGGGAATCCTCGATAAAGGTAAATATCAAGAGAGGGTCCCAGAAACAGGAGTCATGTTGGTGTCTATTGTCCAGGTTACCATGGTGAGGGAATTCTGGAGCTGTAAACATTGAGAGGATTATTCCTTCTGGCGTTTGTATTGGTATTTTCAGAGTACAATCAAATAATGATAAAATAAATAAACTGTATGAACTATGACGCAGTTTAGCTCACTTTCACTCGAATGATCAAACCTTTGACAAGCTTTCGTTAATATAATCAGAATAAATTTTAAATATTCAATTCTCCAAGTACTGAAAAAAATCGATATTCTTGGATTGACAAGTCATCGTAGCCAGATCAAGAGGTAAGTTGGTTTTTGGATTCTTTAGTTTAATAGGAAAACATATCTAGTCCAAATAAAAAATTTAAAGATTTAGGTCTCGCAAATGTATTCGAGTCGTTATTTTCTCCTTAAAGTCAATATTGATGAAGACTGCACATATATAAAGCATGCAAATCTATTTGAGGGATTGATAAAGTCTTTGTAAATCTTACCAAGCGTTTTTAGCTCATCCAATACTGTATCGAAATGTCTATGAACAGTTTTGATCGACTTATTTGGTTACTTTACTTACCAAAGAATAAGTCAATGAGTTTCAGGTTTTGCAGTCTATTGAATTACCCTTATAGTCCTCGGCAAGTTTGACATTTTATTCACAATATAAAATAAAAGTTAAAAGATGAACTAAGTAAACCCGTAAGCCAAGTGGGTTAAAGACATAATGAATCATTATTAGTAAGAAAGTAACAGAAACATTGTTGTAGAAGTATAGGAATAGGGACAGAGAAAGATTGATGGTGCCCTCTAAACAACAGATCATTCAACTTCCTGCTTTGGGAAAAAATTAATATAGATGGATATAAAGTTTCCGGAAGTGACGTCTATTGATAGCAACCTATAAATCACTGGGTATAAAGTTTCCTCGATAGGTTGTGACCTTACTTCTTACAGTGAGTTAGATGTCACTTCGTCGGCATTCCTTTTCTGCGTCTGTAATAATCAAGCTAGTGGAATAATTTCTGATTATTCTGCTTTTGTATTTCTTTTTTTAAGGAAAGATTTTGGTCTAGTGCCCGCCTCGCTTTTAGTCAAGAAACATGGATGACATCCATCGTAAAATTTTGCGAGAAAACTGGGCTCAATTGAGCAGAGACCTTGAACCTGTAAGATTGATAAGACATATGACAAGGGTACTGAGTCGAAAAGACGAAGAAGAAATTAAAGCACAATTTCTGACCAGGATAAGACGTGTGGATATATTTTTAGAAATTTTACCGAGAAAGGGAGGAAATGCGTTCCATTGCTTTATTGAAGCTTTGGAAAAGGAACAGCCACATCTAGCTGAAATCTTACAAAAGGATGAAGGTATGAGGTAACAGAATTTAAGTTATATACCTTTAATTTTCTCGACCTTGTGCATGATTTTAATAAAAACCCGTACAGTAGAATGTACTGAATAATATACTAGCGTACATTTGTTACAGGGCAAGTTAGGGCTGAAGAGGAACTGTAAATTATTTTAGTTTTCTCGGATCAATATCATGTAAGATTAAGTTCGATTCAACTTAATATTTCTTATGTTCAAAACACCTTGATTTCGTTACATAAGATATCAATATCTTTTTTTTCAGAGCGTGTCAACATAGCCAGTCTGATGTAACAGCATTTAACGAGGTCAAATATGAACTGCTGGAAAGGCAGAATATGAACACTGAAGCCCGGAAGGGAACATCTCAAAAGAATTCATAACAACACTGAACTCATTGCATAACCTCACATGAGTTAGCGGAATAAACTGTTTGTAATCTAATTACAGTACAAACAATATTTAAAATAATCTAATAAATCAAGAGAATATGAAGTACTTAATATTCTCTTGAATAAATACAATGCTTGAAATACGCTAATAAAAAAAATAATGATAAATAAATAAACCTGCTTTCCATGAATGCCGTGCTTAACTATTAGATTGAGGATTTTTTTTTAACTGTCGAAACTTACTTAGCGATTCCGCTTGACAAACTTCGTTATTTGGCAGTGCAGCCAAACTTATAACATCTTGGTTAGGTTTGTCGAACCGAGGTTTCGTGTTCGGCCGCAAGAAAGCTAAAACATTGTAACAACGCATTTTTGCTCCATCAATACAGGAGTTGACCTGTAGTTTTCAATAGTGGATGATCCAGGAATATTAAAAGAGGGGTGACTATTATAACAAAGGCGGCTTTACTACAAGTAATGCAAGGAAAAGGAAGGTAGCTTACTAAGGATAATTCAGAGGCAAACTTGAGCAAAAAGGAAGTGGCTAAAACCCTCACCACCCCTGGATCCGCCTGAGTTTGAGATTTCTGACGTAAGATCGAAAAACTAAGTGAATAAATTGAAACACAAAGACGAACGAAGGAGAAATGGAAGGAGGAACGGGTTTTCTTTTATCATTTCTTTCAGTAGTTACTTAACATGATTACCAGTTATCGTGATCCTTTAATTTATCCAAACCATTAGACTTTCGTCAATTTTTTTTATACCCCTAAGTACCCTCACTTCTTCCCACAAGCTAAATGATGGCTAGTCCTCAGAAAACTCTTATCACTGTTATAAATTGTCTCAATTGTTGACTGTCCTGCAAAAATAAACGAAAGTTGTCTCGTAAACCTCGCAGTACTATTTATAACAGAAACTTTAGTTGTTTGTGGGACAACATTTTAAATTCCACTGGGAAAACTGCTGCAAAAAGGGATTAGATTGCTATCGTCTGAGTTAGAAAGAATTAGCTCTCGCTCTATTGTGACGATCCCCAGCCAGGGAGTCCGCTGTAACAAAAGATTGCTGTACAAACTGGAAATCCTTTGAGGCCAAAAGAAATCAAGAGGAGCGGGTCACTGAAACATGAGTACCTATGTTGGTATATATTGCCCAGGTTACCATGGTGAGAGAATCCGAAAACTGTAAGCACTGAGAAAATAAAAAGCAATTCAAAGGTAAGTTTAATTAGTTAAGGAAAATTTATTTCCCAAATGACCAAAAAAAAAACCGGTATCAAATGAATATAATTGCACTAAATTGCTATTTTCTCCTGGCCGTTAATGTCAATATTGTTGAAGCCTTTGCATAAGCATGTAAGTCTGTTCTTACTAAGTGTTATTAAACCACCCACAATATTGGAATCTTATATATAAGCAGTAACGATCATCTTAAATTGGTTAATTCCAAAGTCAATTTAGTTTTAAGAGACTTTGCAATTGATTTATATTCATTTCCTTTGCATACCCACCAAGCATGATACATATGTTTTACTCACATGAAATCAAAACTGAAAGATCACCAATTACAGTACCCCATAAGATTGTAAAAACCATCGCTAAAGTAATGTAGAAGTAGTAAGAATAGAAAGCAGTGAAATTATAGGAATTACGACAGAGTAAGACTGATTTTCCCCTCTAAGGTTCATTAATTTTCCTTTACCGGGAAAAATTAAAATTATTTTAAAAGGTATAAAATTTCCACGACGGTTGTGACCCTACTTCTTGTTCTATGTCTTTGTTGTCTACGACAGCGATAGTGGACTAATTTCAGCTAATTCTTTTTTGGATTTCCTTTCAAAGAACTAAAATTTGGACCCGGGATTCTCCGTCAAGAAATATGTATGATGTCCAGAGATCGAATGATTTGCCCTCTAAACATGAGTTTCGTTCAGCTTCCTGCTCCATATAAATCACTGGGTATAAAGTTTCCTCAAGAGAAAATGAACTAGTTCATATTCTCTTGGTTTCCTCGATAGATTGTGACCTAATTTCTTGCAGTGAATTAGATTTAACTTCTTCGAGGCGTTTTCTGCTTCTGAATAATCAAGCTAGTGGACTAATTTCTAAATTTTATGCTTTTGTACTTCTTTTCTAAAGGAAAGATTTTGGTCTAGTACCTGACTTTTAGTCAAGAAACATGGATGACATCCATCGTGACATTTTGCGAGAAAACTGGGCTAAATTGAGCAAAGACCTTGAACCTGTAAGATTGCTAAAACATATGACAAGGGTACTGAGTCGAGAAGACGAAGAAGAAATTAATGCACAATTTCTGACCAGGATAGAACGTGTGGATAAATTTTTAGCTACTTTACCGAAAAGGGGAGGAAAAGCTTTCCATTGCTTTCTTGAAGCTTTGGAAAAAGAACAGCCACATCTAGCTGAAATGTTACGAAGGGAAGAAGGTATGAATTTAACAAGTAGCAGAATTACAGCGCAAATCGTTGCATATCGCGACCAGCTGTTTCAAAACCCTGATTGGATTTTGGCCTTTTCTGAGCCGTCAATCATCTTGGGACTGTGATAAAAATGTAAAAGTGTGCATAAAGTATACTCTTATACAAATATCTAATGAGATGCAAATATATCAAATGAGATGTTAAACTTGAAAAGTAACTTATTTGGTTTTATTTATCTTCTAATGTATCACTGACATAAGCATTGTACAAATTTAAGTCAAGTTTCTTATGAAAAAAAGTTTCACACAAAATTTCCATCCGTTTAAGCATGTTTTACTTTCTGCGTCTTATTTGATATCTTGCATCTCATTAGATATTTGTATAAACCTATACTACAACCTTTCTGCAATCGAGTGTATACACTTATTTCAATAAAGTTATTCATCTGAAAGGCTACAAAGCTGAGACCGACAAGGATTATGGGTAGATACAATTTACATGTTTTAACCGCTTGATAACTGTTAATGGACTTGAGATCTTCTACCAGTTACTAGTTAACCTTCTCTGAGTATCCTCAACTGCTGCAGTTTGTATCAAAAGCTTGACTTGTTGAATATAAAACATTTCCCCATGATTCTCAGCGATCACAGCTTTCTAGGTTTTTGATGACTAACTTTATTGAAATAAGTRTATATATATATTTACCAAAAGTCCCTAAAACTTCGAAAATATAGCAATATCATATGTATCCCCTTTTTCCTATACATTATATCTTACCTGGGATTTTCAAGGAAAGACAATAGGAAAAAGGGGAATACATATAACTATTGCAAATAAAAAAGCGGAACTGACAAAATGGAATGTATATAGCTGACTAAAACAGACAATATATACATAAAATTAGGCTTGACGGCTAAATACTTAGCATGTTGTACAAACGAACTTTGCATTAAATTTCAGTTGTATCAAAGGAGCGTGTTAACAGTGCTACTCTGAGGCTAAAGCTTAGCGAAATCAAAGATGAACTACAAAACGAGAGAGCGAAGAATCAGACTATTGAAGCCGAGAACAAAGAGCTTAAACAAAAGTATGTAGAGCATTTAAACACATTACAACAGCAAATACTTGATACAGGGGAAAACCTAAAAAACCATTTTGAAGAAGAGCTTAAACAAAAGTATGTAGAGCATTCAAACACATTACAACAGCAAATACTTGATACAGAGGAAAACCTAAAAAACCATTTTGAAGAAGTTCTTGAGAAAAAAGCAAAATATATCGCGACAGATGTGCCGTTAGAGCAAGAGGCTTATCCTAATTCTCGCAAATCCAGCCTAAATAATGGAGAAATATCATGTGCACTGAGGCAGTTTCTACAGCAAAGTCACAGGAAAGAAGACGAAAATGTAAATACGATTTTACACGATCCTGAGCAGAGAGAGAGTGCATTGGAATTAGAGTGCCAGAAGCTTCGAGAAGAACTTGAGTCATTGAAAAGCAAGGCTTCTATTCTGGCAAAAGACAGACCAAGATCGTCCAATCAACGAGCCGCAACCGAAGGCAAGTCACACCAACAACAGATATTAGGCATTGAAGTGAAAATGATAGCTTAAAATGAAAAAAATAATAATAAAATGA